TTTAACCCACATTTAAAAATATTATTTAATTTATATAGAAAAACAGTATTTAACTCATTGATAATAAAGTTTATTTATTCTAAATGAATACATACATTTTTAAATTTTGTGTTTTGAATCTTGATAACTTTATTAACAATTTACACATTATTTTATGATAACAAGATATAAAACAATCTAAATATTTTCAGTCATTATAATAATTTAGAGGATTTTAATGGTAAATCATAATCATAATTTTTGTTAATCCTATCGCCGTAATTGTACAAAGACCAAACCATTCAAACAATTTGCAGACTTAATTATTATTTCGATGTTTTTTTTATTTTCGCACATGTTTCAACATTTTCTTGAATTCGATCATGATTACACCTGAAATAAGATAAAATATATTAATATTTTCTAGCAATATTTCTGAAATATATTGATTTTATAAACTCATAAATTCAATTACTTAGCTTTTAGCAAAAAAGGCTGCATTTTCATTAATTGTAGTTTATTGAAAACCCATATTTTCTAGAACTCGATCACAGTCAAATCTGAAATAATTAAAAATACAGTAAATAGAAAATTTTAACATTAATTTAAAACAGTACAATTATAGTTTTAAATTAAAACAAAAAAACTATTGTTGGAAAAACGAATACCAAATATTCAAAAGCGATAATAAATTATTGAAAAGTCTTCATTTAATAAGTTTGTTAATATTTTTATTACCTTTTATCAAATCCATTTTTGCTATGTGATAGTTTTTATATGTATTACAGCTGATTTTACATCCATTTCAATTTGGTCAATCTGGAATATATAAAATACATCATTGTTTACTAAATATGTATGTTGATTTATATAATATAAGTAATAAATATACTTACGTACTTCAAACATAAGACTCAAAATTATGTTGATTTTAATTATTTTAAACTATCCACAAAATATGTTTTTAGCCAATTATTATTTGATATCATAGATCATTTTATTATTCACTAAATATTCACTAAAAATTCACGCACTTTTTTTATATAATATTTGTAATTGAGAAATATTTTGCAATATTATAATAAATAATAAATTCAAAGAGTGATATTTCCACAGCTGATACTAGTAACAACTCAACTGGTAACTGAAATACTCCGAAATACACAGAATGTCTGGCAGGTACTTTAAGCCTCCGAAGGGTCGTGCATATTGCCTTGAAATGCACATACATTTATACAAAAAAAAGGTTATTGAAATGGTGTGCGTGCATTCGCGCGTTCGTACGGAGAAACTTTCTAAAGAGAGATGGCTAAAATTCGGGGTAGTTATTCATAATCATGTATATGTGTATAAATATGTGTGTTATTCCAGAATATTTTTAAATTATATGAATAAATATAAAACATTTAAATTTATGTATAAATATTGTTGGAAATTTTATTGTAAAATTTTTGATAAATTGCACGTTCCGATATCTGTTAAAGCTTCCAAGTTATGTGTAAAAAAAGAAATTATCAATTTTACTTTATGCTATATTTCTGCAAGTTCATTAAATTATTATATGATTTTTAAATGCAAATTTATTTATTCTTTTTTTTTGTTAATATTAACCACTAAAACAGTTTTGTCAACTAAACATATAAATACATAAACTTTAGATTTTTTTTGATCGACATTAACACATATATTTGAAATGTTTATTTGCAACAAAATAGTTAAAATAAAATGCAATCAATAATTTAACTATTTCGACACAATGTCACATCCAACAAGTTAATACATTTTAAAATATTTATAAAATTTTATAAAATTACAAGATTACTAGTAGATATAACAAATTTATACAAAGTTTTATTTTTCTTCAATAAACATTTTGTTTGAATTTTTTTTTTCTTGGTTTGATATGTATTGACATTATTTGAATTTGTTATATCTTCTAGAAATGTTGTAATGTTATAATGATGCATCATTTTTTTTTAAATTTGTTAACCACCTGACACACATATAATGTAAAATCGTTCTTTATAAGTAGTTAACTTATTTATTGCTTTTTGTTTCGAGTATTTGACTGCAAATAATGTAATCAACATAATAGTATACTCTGTGTATAAAGCGAGATATGCGCTAATGCTCATCATTTCGTGCTGTTGGCGGCGTAGTGGATAGCGCGGTAGACTTGCATACTTGGGATGTCTTATTATACGGGGTTCGAATCATACAATAGTTTTTTTATTTTTTTATGTAAAACAAAAAGTTATCACATTTTTTTTTCATTTGAATGCAATAACCTATTTTTAAAAACAAGGAACAAAGTATGTGTATTCAACGGTCATCGATTACGTTTACATAAACAAATTATAATGGAATTAATTTAGCTATTTATTAATTAATTCTAATCAAGAATATGATTTTTAAGAGGCACCATTGATGTTTTTGCCGCTAATTTATTATTTAAAATTGATTATTTTCTTGACCAATATAAATGCGATGAAGAAGACAATGATCAGCTGTGTATTATTAGCTAAGATATTATCAATGAGTTAAATACTGTTTTTTTATATAAATTAAATAATATTTTTAAATGTGGTTTAAATAATATTTTTGGATTTGGGGTAAATATTGTTTATTTATATTGACCTTATATTGGTTTTTAATATTGAGCTTATATTAGTTTTGAATGGGATTTTAATATTGTTTATCACTATTGGATTTATATGGAGCCCATATTGGTTTTAATATTCACTTTTTAAAGCCATTAATGAAAAAAAAATTATCAAACTAAAAATTACGATCGAACATATGACTTTCTAAAAGCTTTAATCATGTTTTTGGTGCTAATTAATTATTTAAAGTTAATTTTTTTCGTGACCCTTTTAAATACCATGTATTTCCCAAGTTCGACAAAAACGAATCTTGGTTGCCCACAAAAAGTTTCCATAACTCCCACATTTAAAATTTATATTGAATTTATAAATAAAATGTATCAAACTATTAATTACGATCGAGCATATGACTTTTTAAAAGCTTTAATCATGTTTTTGATGCTAATTAATTATTTAAAGTTAATTTTTTTTGTAACCCTTATAAAAACCATGTATTTCCCAAGTTCGATAATACTGAAGAAACAAATCTTGGTAGCCCACAAAAAACGTCGATTATGCCCTCATTTGAAAATTATGTATAATTTATGTAAATATAAAATTAGAGGTGTAAATCAGATGGGAAACATGTTTTTTTAATTGTAATAAACCATATAAAACAGTTCTCCCATGAATTTTCCAAATTTTCCATAATTTTGAAAACAAATATTGTCCGGTCCATCTAAAGACAAGATTCAAATATTGCGCCACGATTTTTTACCCCTCTGGCCATGATACATTTCTACTAGGGAATATGGAATGAAATATGGAATATGATATGGAAAAAAAAACTTGCACCAATCATTTTGACTGGTACTGGTAGAAATAGTAGTAATACGAAATCTCTTTGTTACTAATATATGAAAAGTATCATATAATTCATAAGATAAATTCTATACTTATAACTAAAATATCGTAACTTGATTTCACAAAAGAAATGGTACATATGATGGGAATTTTGATTTGAAATTGCTCGACCAGTCATTTTGACTGGTGTGGTATATCCGTAGTGCAACCTGTGGTATATTTATTTATTTATTTTACAAGCCGTCGGTATAATAATATTATAATAAGGTATTTTATTATTTATTTATTTATTATTTAATTTATTTACTATGAACTTATTTATATTGAGTTAATTTTAATATAATTTTAAATATAATTAGTTTGTTTGTTGCAAGTATTTTTTTAAAAATGTAACAAATTTTTAATAAGCTTTGCAATACTTTTACAATATAAATATTTTGTTCAACAAATTCTAGGTTTATGATATTTTAACAATTCTATGATATTATCATTCGCTACACGCGTTGCCGTACAGAAAGAGATAGTTTCGGTTTTGTCGTTGTTTAAAAGAAGATTATTTATGACCCATTTCGAAACAGAATCCATGACACTGTTCAATTTCGTTAAGGGGCCATTGTATGTTCTAGCTTTGATGGTTTGACAAGTGTCATCAGCGAACAAAATAAGTCACATAGATTTGAGCAATTAGGTAGGTCATTAATGTAAAGAAAAATAGGAGCAGCCCAAGAATTGATCCTTGTGAGACACCCATTTTGATGTTTAATTTCCTGGATAGAACTTTTCTACCGGTGCTATCGTCCAGATTATATTATTGAATTGAGATCTTAAAATCATCTAACAATTTGTATTTTTCATTAAAATGAATATTAAAATTGCCACATAAAATTATTTTATCGTATTTATTAGACATCTCATTTAGAAGATAAAGGAGAGTATTAAATGTAGAACCATTTTGGTCTGGAGATCGGTAAACAAAAATTAAACAAATAAGAGCATAATCAAGAGATACTTGGATCACAGTACTCAAATATTTTTTCAACACAACTAGTCGTTGCCCAAATTGGTTTACAGGCAAATCGATCGAGTTAAAAATCTTTTTTTTTTACCTATTGCAAACACAGCCATGAGAAAAATTTTGTCCACAGAAGTAGGACTGCAAATGTAAACCTTTTAGTTTGACCAACTGAAGTTCGGATTCTTTGAGCCAATGTTCACAAAACACAAAAGACGTATGCACATCAAATTATCAGATATTTGATGAAGTTTTTAAAAATGAGTACTAATTTTTTGCTATAATTTTGTTGGGATCCGTACCAAGATTTTTCATTTTGAAAGTTTACTTATACAGTTCAAGCAAATTTCAAATTGTTATCTATCATTAATCAGGTTTTCTTAATTATTGATTATTTTAATTTTTGAATTTTCAATTATGGTACGAAAAGTTTCTGCAATTTGCCTTAAAGCACAATGCCATGCACCACTAGTTTGTAATATATTAAAACTAATATATTAAATAATTCATTATATTTAACTAAAATTAGTATCACATTTCAAAATTAATTCATAAAAACGTAATCATGATCTTCAAAAGAATACCAGAAATTAGCATTGTGACAATCATCACTAAAACTCCTTCCACTTTTTGTTTAAATTTTGGGAATAAAGAGATGCCATAGTTTGACATTTATTTAGACGAGATTTCTTGAATATGGAATACTAAAATGAAGAACAAATAATTTTAATATAATAGAACAACATAATTTGATGAATAAAATCAATTACTTGATTATTATCTGTTGCAAGTTTCCTCTTTGCTACTAAGGGGATGTTATTTGATAATGTTCTTAGCGGCATCATTCCAAAACTGCTAGATTCAACTTGTAAATATGGAGAATCTGGACTTTTATTTGAGTTGCTTAGTGCCTTCTGTGTGAATTTATATACATATTATTCGCGATACAGATATACACAATAACAGAATGTATTTGAAATCATTTTCAAATGTAAGGTTTTCCATTTTTGTGAAAAGCGGTTCAAATATAGTTTTGTCATTCAGGTAAAAGATAAAAATTAGAGTTGTGTATAATGGTGCACATCATAAAATTACTTACAGTTTTGGGTGGTGTACTTTTGTTAAGTTCAACTATGGATTCTAATTCTGCAATACGTTTCAACAGATTTGACTTTTCCCTGTGTAAATCAATGAATTTTTCTTGATCGTTGCTTAAATATTTCAAAGACATCTTTTTAAACATATTTTCTAAAATCCATATATAAATCTATATGAACTATACTTCAATTTACCTATGCATTTCAAGTTTCTCTTTGAATCGAATACACTGGGTTTTATATTTAATAACTTCTAGTTGCAATTTTTGATACCCAAGTTTTAAGTTGTTTTGCTTTTCTTCAGTTAAAGTGAGTTTGCTAAATTTTTAAAATATGCTATTTAAAATACATTCTCAAAATTAACAATTTTTTAACAATATTTGAAAGTAGAGGGAAGAAGATGTATAACCAGTCATCAATGTCTATCGACATCATACGACGTTGATATCGGGAGAAAAATGGCAATGTTTAGAAATTCCTAACAAAAGTATATTCTTTTGTGGTTAGCTTATTTGTGAGTTGTGAGAGGGATGTTTAGTTTACATGACCTTAATATAATATTTAAGTATGCGTTATTCAATTGTTTTATGAGATATATTGTCAATTTTAAGTTAGATTCAACAGTTTTTTTTATACAACCTCTATAAAAACTTGCACATTGGTGGGGTGAAAAGGACTAACTAAATCTTTACCTTTGCAAAGATGTAATCAATAAAAAATAGTAAATAAAAAATTATATCAAGTTGAAAAAAGCAATCTCACAACAAATAATTTAAATAAATAGTGATTCCAACTCTTCTGATGAATATTTGGGATCAAATGCCAGATCTAAAAATGTAAAATTGATATTTTGCATTAGTGGAATAATGTAGAAATTATTTCATCAAGATATTGGGCCCGTTTGCCCCCTGGCCGTCCCATTATATCCTGCCCATATGGTAAAAAGTACCAGGTGACAACATTTCTGAAAAACCGCATTTCTGCAAATAATAATTCTATAATGATGAATTAGTTGGTAGTTTTACTGAGCATTTTCAGATCGTTGTTTGTTTGATATGTGTTATTTGTTGTTACATAATTGGTTTGGTTATCACATTATAATTGCTCAAAGTCAAATTGGACCTCTGTGCCTCGCCCTACCCAATTTTTAATATTGATAATAACAATTCTTCACCTCTTGAGTGAGGATACAAAACTAGCCAAATCTGCAACACTCGTATTATTAGAAAGCATTGCATCCACTTCTTTGCAAGTTGATTTTAATAGTAGGTCAACTCTATAATGAAAAAAGATTACTTGAGGATATCATGGTATATTTCACCATTATTTATTACAATGAAAAACTTATGTTCAATGCACTAACTTTTTAATGGACTGCACTTTTTCTTGCATTTTTTGTATCTGTTCTCTTAGCTCCGACAGTTCCTTCATTTGATCTTTAAAGTAATTGTATTGATATTTCATTGTATCAAAAGCTGCACTTGTTTTAGTCAGTTTTTTTTCGAGTTTCAAAACTTTTTTTTCAGATGATTTCAACTGCAATATAAAATATTAGCTATTTTCACAAAAAGATAGTTCAAAATTATATTACTTTTGAAACAATTATATCAGAAAAAATACCTCAAAAATAATTATTACAGAAATATTTCGACTTAATAAAAGTATTGGTTCAATATGGATTGATAAAATATTGATAATTTACATAAATAAGAATATAAATAAAAATATTTAATAAATACTGTATCATTGGAATATTCAAGAGATTTTTGAAGATCAGTGATCCTTAATTTTGCATCTGATAGTTGTTCTTGTAACACAGCAGGGTCTTCGAGAAGAGATCTGTTTGCACAAATGTTAAAGTAAATTTTCTGTATGGTAGATGGTGTAGTTCTACAACGGCACTCAGGACAAGTTGAAGATCTACAAAATTTATCACATTACACTAACTTACAAAATGAATCACATTAAAAATTACAAGTTTGAGGTTAGGCTAATGTACTTTAATCGGAAAGAATTGTACCTCGGAAGCCACTGGGAAAGACACTTGTAATGAAATACATGTCCGCAACTAGTAATAAATATTTCCACTGAACTTTCAAGTAATTCATTGCAAATGGCACACAGTACTAACATTATTGTGAACAATTATTTTATACTATTTAAATCTTTATTGAAAAATTTGATTTGATAATGATTAAAAAACAATTATCAAATCTACTACACAATTGCATAAATAAATTTATTGATTTCGTTTAAAATGTTTTCATACGTATTACAAAAATCCCCGAAGATAAAGAAGCTCTTCTCAGGAGGCATTAAATCAAGCTAAGACTTTGCATAATTCAGCCAGCATGAAGTTGCCGGCGAAGACTGATATCAAGCTGTCAAGCATTTAAGATGTCAAGAGCGCGTCGGCCATTTTGTTCATTTTTATATCAGCGTTGTGTGGTCGTGTCGGCGTATTGTTTTTTATTAAGTAGGCTTGTTTCATATTTAATATTTTATAGCTTTTCGTTATGATTCATTCTTTTTGTGTTTATTTTTTTATGTCCGTTCAAGTTTATTTGCTTTGGCTTTTTGATTACGCGCCTATTTAGTTCTTATTTTAATTTTTACATTTTAGGGTTATGTTTTAGGATTCTTTTCATTCAAAGATCATTTTAGTCTAGCTTAGATTTTATACAATGTTTTAGTTATAATTTTGTTTTAAAAAATAATTTAGGCTTACGTTTTACGCATAGGGTTACATTTTATTCATTATTTTTGTTAGGGTTACGTTGTATACATTATTAGGTTTGGTTTCGATCTTAACCTTAATTCAGTGGAAGCTAACTAAAACTCAACAAACAACAAATAGAAGGTTCAGTAAATGAAATAAAATTGAAACACTTCTGATGTTATAATACTAAACCAAAATACTTCATACTGTCTTGGAATTGACAGATATATTTCGTTTTTTCTGCAATATTTGCTATGAGGGAACAAGATATATTGTATTTTAACGTAATATATTGTCTAAGATAAAGGCTATCATCTTGGTATTAGACAATATAATAATAATAATACTTGTTTGGCTGTGATAATAATGATCTTGACAGGTTTTAGCTGTCAAAGTTATGAATCCAATACATTTCAACTTGACGTCTAACTTCTATTTCGTCGCCAACTTCATGCTGGCTGAAATATGCAAATGTCAAAATTCTTAGCCTGATTTAAGGTGGTGTAGAGGAGGCATTAAATCAAGCTAAGAATTTGACACAATTCAGCCAGCATGAAGTTGCTGGCGAAGACTGATATCAAGCTGTCAAGCATTTCAGTTGTCAAGAGCGCGTCGACCATTTTGTTCATTTTTATATCAGCGTTGTGTCGGCGTATTGTTTTTTTTATTAAGTAAGCTTGTTTCATATTTAATATTAATATTTTTTAGCTTTTCGTTATGATTCATTCTTTTTGTATTATTTTTTTTATGTCCGTTCAAGTTTATTCGCTTTGGCTTTTTGATTACGCGCCTATTTAGTTCTTATTTTAATTTTTACATTTTAGGGTTATGTTTTAGGATTCTTTTCATTCAAAGATCATTTTAGTCTAGCTTATTTATTTATTTACATATATACATTATTTTCATATCTCAGTCAGACAGAGGTGCCTGGTATGAGAGATTATGAAAAACAGTTTTCATATAATATTTACATTTCATTTGACTATAATATCTATTTCATTAATATAATATCTATATATAACTCTTCAGTCTTCTTTTTCTTCAATTTCCATATAGTACTTCTTTATTTTTCTTTTAAAATTATCATTATCATTGGTCATCTTAATATAGTCTGGCAATTCGTTATATATTTTGGTAGCACTCCATATGACATTTTCTCTCAAATTCTTTTTTCTATTGCGTTCAATGTGAAAATTGTTGTGTTGTCTCGTGTAGTGTTCATGTATATCTTGATTTGTGTCTATTGTTGCACTTGTTTTAATTCGGTTAAATTTCATTTTGTGTATTAGTTTGCATTTCTCTATTTTAATTATGTTATTTAGTGAATGATTATTTGTTTCTCTCTGCAAGTATTTGGTGGGTGTTAGATGTGGTAAATTATATGCTATTTTTATGGCTTTATTCATTATTCTCTGTATGTCATTTAGGTTTGCTTTAGTTGTTTGGCTCCATGTTGTTATGCCATATAAAATTATAGGTATTATTTGCGTTTTAAGAATTAGTATTTTATTTTTTTTGCCGAAAGAGTGGATCCTTTTCAATGCCCCTGTTAATGTTCCTATCTTTCTTTTTATTTTGTTTATATGGTCTGTCCATGTCAGTTTTTCATTTATTATCAGTCCTAAGTATTTTATGCTTTCCACTTCCTCTATTGCTCTATTATTTACTTCAATTTTTAGTTTTTAGTTTAGCTTAGATTTTATACAATGTTTTAGTTATAATTTTGTTTTAAAAAATAATTTAGGCTTACGTTTTACGCATAGGGTTATATTTTATTCATTATTTTTGTTAGGGTTACGTTGTATACATTATTAGGTTTGGTTACGATCTTAACCTTAATTCAGTGGAAGCTAACTAAAACTCAACAAACAACAAATAGAAGGTTCAGTAAATGCAATAAAATTGAAACACTTTTGATGTTATAATACTATATCAAAATACTTCATACTGTCTTGGAATTGACAGATATATTTCGTTTTTTCTGCAATATTTGCTATGAGGGAACAATATATATTGTATTTTAACGTAATATATTATCTAAGGTAAATGCTATCATCTTGCTATTAGACAATATAATAATCATAAGAATAATAATACTTGTTTGGCTGTGATAATAATGATCTTGACAGGTTTTAGCTATCAAAGTTATGAATCCAATACATTTCAACTTGACAGCTAACTTCTATTTCGTCCCCAACTTCATGCTGGCTGAAATGTGCAAATGTCAAAATTCTTAGCCTGATTTAAGGTGGTGTGTGGTGTAGCTCTTCTCTTATATCATCGGTGCGAAGTTGTACCCAGTTGAACCAGCTGTAACAGGCTAACCCGCGTCCATGCATAGATAAGTAAACATAAAAAGATCGCTATCTGAGGCCATTTGACATTACCGTCATTTTAATATTTTTAGCGATCTGAAGAAGGCAGCACTTGTTCAGTATATAAATCAACCGCTGGTATTATTCCTAGATATGGTTCGCATACGTAATTCAAAATAAGAAAACCTAAATAATTTCTTATATTGGAAATGAGAAAAAAAAACGTACGAAGTACAAAATATATTTTCAAATATATCACAAACATTTTTACATAACAATTAAAATTTTTATAAATGTAATAATCAATATATACATAATAATAAGTATTATAATTTTACAATTATAAGTAACTAAAAAAAGTATTCACAATGGTATGATAAATTTACAAGGAACAATCAATATGAATTAATGAATGATCAAACAACTACACAGAGATTGTGTAGAAGCATTTACAATAAAATGTTAAACTTAGAAGTAACGATCAATATGAATTACTTAATGATCAATAATATATAACAACTAGACAGAAATATTGTAAAAGTTTTCATAAGTATAATGAATTTACACGAACTGACTAATATTAATTTCTTAATGACAATATTAATATATTAAAAAGAGAAGAAAAAAGTATAGAGTCCAAGTATGTAGTATATAGAGTATATACTAAAGATAATGGAATAGTATAATTAGAAGAAATGACAAATAATGAACAAATTTAAAAAGTTAAATCCTACAGACATAAAATATATATATTGATATCAAAATTGATAGAAAACTAAATTCCAAGAATTAAAATTCATTTATGAGTCATGCTTCTTTAACATTAACTTTGCATTTGATAGTTATTTTGCTTTCCAATCAATCATTAATAAAGTTGCATTCTAAAATATCTTGAATTTCTTATGATTCGATTGTGTCAATAGAACAGTGCAGCAGTCCCTTCGGCTGGAATGTTAAGAATATTTCTGAGCATTTTATACTCTGTTGCAATTTATACTTTAAATTATTGCATTGTTTGTCTATCCTTCTTAACTCCCTCAACATATAATGGATGTGTCATACATTTTACATGCCCTCGGAATGAAGACACTCCTATCCCAAATCTAAGCGATCAATTTTGACGTTTTACATATTTAGTAGCAACTTCTTTTTTTCGCTAAAAATAGTAGTCCTTTCCAAAACAGGGTAATATACATTTGTTCGGAGATAACTCCTCATGCCCTCGGCATCAAGACACTCCTATCCTCAGTCACTAGATTCTGCTGCAATTTGTATTCTCAAGAACATCTAATAAACATAACATATTGTAATATAATATCAAATCGTAATAGTAAATGGTATTAAAATATTCAGAATTATTATTACCTTTTCCACTGGAGTTGCAGAGTGTTCTCCTGGTCATTATAGACATGAGAACTATTCTGTGAAATATAATTGGACATTTCTAATTTGTTCACTTCATAAAGCCGGAAAGAAGTGCATTTTTATATTATTTCTTAAGTTACCACAAGTTGGTGCGTCACATTTTGCCATATTAAATTTCACATAAATGCTTACTTGAATACAACTAATTACAGAAACAACATCGAACCACAAACTTTGATACAAAATGGCGAATGGCAAATCTAAGCGAGTAATTTTGACATTTGAAATCATCATATTTCGAAACTAGTAGCGACATCTTTTTTTCGCTAAAAATAGTAGTCCTTTCCAAAACAGGATAATATACATTTGTTCGGAGATAACTCCCCATGCGTCCATGCTTATTTATCTATGGCGTGTTTCGTGTATCGAGTTCTAGGCGATAATTTGGCGCTAGTGAGCCGGTGCCAAGTGACAGTTTACGTCCGGATTTCCACCTTGTGTTCTGGGTTTTTCTACAAGCAATATTGGTCCTGGATTTAGCTCCTTTATCCCAAAAAGTACAAATTGTAAAGAATATAAAGTACAAAAGTACCTACTAGATAATAAAATTATAAATAAACATATACTTTTCTTTTATTTATGCAAATGACATAAGGTAGGGCGGGGCACAAAAGACCAGTTTGACTTTGAGCAATTATATTGTGAAAACCCTAGATAAATAAGCATAAATAGATTGCTATCTCGGGCGATTTGACGTTACACTCATTTTAATTTACGAATAGATCACAACATGGCAGCACATCTACATACAGTATGTAAATTAACCCCTGGTATTACTTCTACATTAGTACGTATAATCAATATAGCCAAAAAATCTGAAAAAAATTTAA